ACCATAAACAACAAAAAATAAAATGAAGTGCAGCTGCACTGAGAAGGGCATTGCCTTTTTAATCGCTTGACCTACCAATATGCCAGCGCTAGAAATGATAGCAACATTTTAGCATACGAATGCAGAATTTTTAACATACATAACATTTTAACATTCTTTGAGTTAACCCTCGCCCTTATAGGGGGTCAAACGGACCAATCCCCTGGGTTCTTCGCAAAAAACTCGCGCAAAAAGCGGCCAATCGCGACCAAACTAGTACCTACCCTCAAATTGATCAATTTTACACCTACCCTGAAAATTTTATGACCTTGGCCGGAATCGCAAATTCGGCGTATCCAGTATTCGTGCGGTTTTAAACGTGCAGACATGTGAAATGATGCTGGTCCAACTCCAATGCATCATGGCGGAAATCAAGATCACGTGAAGGTAAAGTCAAGGTTATTGTCTATTGACCTTTGATGACTTTGTTGATGGCTGTCTTTTTCGAGTTTCATATGTTTCTAGGGCAGTTTTGGAGCTAATTTCGAATTTATTAACCATTTGAACATTTACGCAGTAGTTTTGGTGCCTTCGTAACATGTTACGAAGTTGTCAGTGGTGGTTGACACTTAAAATGAATAGCCGTCAAGATGCCTACTGGTTGACCTGACCTGACCTGACTCTACCTGGCCTCAATGCATGAAGACATCATCTGTAATTTAAACTGTAACATAAAATTCGTGATCAGCAACTCGAAAAACATGATAACCTCACTTTACGAAGTTCTAACAGGTCCCGATTTTCCCGCCTGTTGGGTCATTGACCTGACCTGGAAGGTCAACCGATGATCTAGGACCTTAAAATTGGGTATCATCGGCTTCCTCTCGTCACGAGCAACACGCTTGTTTTTTTCCGCTAAGCTCTAGCTCGATCATGGGCCAAACGCCAAGGGGTCGTACCACCCCTCTTGTGCCGTCGAAGGACTCAAAATGGCCTGTGCCGGCGAGGGCTATGGTTAAACTATGTAGCCATTCGGCTCGTATCAACGATGTTAACACTCCATTTAACCCTATTAGTGGCAGGCTCCTGGCTACCCCTATTAGTGGCAGGGGGGGGCTGTTTACGACCCCCCCCCCCCTTTGATATCTCGAGATCTAACGGGCCGATTTTCAAAATTCAAACGGCATTCGATTTCGCTCAACGAGATCTACATTTCTAAAAAAATAAAATTAAAAATGTAAATAGGGGGGTAGAGGGGGGTAAAAACGGGCAAATTTCAGATACATTTTAGACTGTTTATCACGGCCAGGTTTCTGAACTAATCTTAACGCAACTTTTGCCGATCGATAGAGAATGAACCAGGAATTCACATGGATCCTAAAAACATGCATTTTCAAAAATCATAGGCGGATACAGATCATTGAGATTGGGGGTACACAAAAAGTATAGTAAATAAGGTTTTTGTTGGTACTGTTTCTAAAAAGGGTGGCAATGGTCTTGTTATGTTACAATTTTCTTATGAGAGAACGACTACAATTGTATTGGTCATGCATAGGCGGTGTCAGGGCGCCTATGTTGGAAGGTAAAAAATAACCCCCCTTTTTGGACGCCTGGATCCGCCTATTATAGCAAAAACGTGTCAAAAGAGGATGCACAATAACTTTGTATATGTTGTCACATGATACCTTTCATTCACTGTTCGTAAAACTGGTGCAGCATCGTGATCTTCGCCCAAATGACTCGCTTCACGAATAGGACCCCCCAATTCCCAGTGCTCTGGAGCCGCCCCTGGTAAAGTTATGAACTTGAAATTTTCAGGGAATGTGCCCAATTTAGTTTTAGGAAAAGTCAGAAAATTTCAGCATCGTAGCTTCAGCGGTTTCGGAGATATTCCCGAAAAACCTGAGGGGTGGATAAAAACAACCCCCCTGCCACTAATAGGGTTAAAATCAATGTCATACAAGCTATGCATCAAATGTTACTGCAGACAATATTTTTCAACTAAAGCGTAAATTTTGACCTTTTAACTCTAAGGCTTAAAGAGACCATCCCACATTAACATTAGTTTTGAGTTTAGATAGCCAGATTGGGGTCCCTGGCTTGCACTTACCGATTTGGGCACTTACAACATCGAGAATTGCTTGAATTCGGATATATTTAATTTCAAACTTACAGTTTTCAGATTCCAAGAGGCTAATTAATGCATATGAAATTCCCTCTGAGAATTTGTGATGTCAGCGAAGAGCTAACAATTTTTAAATCTTATACTAAAATCATCATTTAAACATGGTGGTATATATGTTACAGACCGTATGAAAACCCAGTCCGTTTGCAAACGGCCTGGCCCAGTCAGGCCGTTTGAAAACGGCCTGAAAAAGCCGGCCGTTTGCAAACCGCCTGAAATATCAGGCCGTATGAAAACGGCCTAGGCAGTTTGAAACGGCCTAGACAGTTTGAAAACGGCCTAGTCAGTTTTCAAACGGTCTGGCGAAGTACAACAGCCTCTGAAAATTGAACTTAAAGGATCCAGGCTGGTCGATGATCAGGTTGCATCCATGTGAATGTTTGCGCATTCCATGCCGAATGACTCGTCCAAGTACATACGTCGAACATTTTCTTACTGTGCTGATGCTCGGCCCGGCCGTTTTTCGACAATATTACTCTAATTATACAAGTTCACAGTCCGCCTGTGTACGGCCATCCAGTTGATGGAGCCTGGTGAAGCCACTACTGGTGATGTCTGGTGAAACGTATCGCTACAAGACTCACCGATTATTTTGCGGCATAAAACGCCGGAGCGCGCAATGGACATCAGAGTTCACATCAGTGGCGCGGGAACCGGGGGGGGGGGGGCTAGCGGGGGCTGAGCACCTCCAACTTTTCGGCTGGGGTGGGGGGCTCGTAATGTATTTGAGCCCCCCCCCCCCCAGCTGGAGGAATCGAAATCGGAAATCTACCAACATAATTTCATAGATTCATACATAGGCGCGGGAACCGGGGGAGGGGGCAGTGGGGGAAGCTTGCTGCCACAGCTCTGGGGCCGTGGGGGCGGTGCCCCACAACTTTTCATGAGGTCAGGAACCGTTGGGGCAGCTTGTCCTCCCCAAATTAGGGGTTGTGGCCTGTGGGTCACAAAGGAAGAAAGCATGTAAGTGAAAAATCCACCTCTTTCACTGGCTCGGCAACTCATTTGGCAGATTAAAACCTTTATTCCAAGTTGCAAAAACGGTAGTTTCTTCACTCAGCTGAGACGGAATACCTGACTTTTTTGCAAATATTTGCGTTTTTTGTTGAAAAGACCAAGGTCTGAAAAATAAGTGGCCTAAAACCGGTGAGAAAACTAGATTTGGGGGTACCCTAGGTTGATCTCTATTATGGTTCAGCCCCCCCCCCAGCCTGGAAGAAGTTCCCGCGCCACTGGTTCACATAAGAGTCGTCACCGCGCCCGGTCGACCGCCGGCGGCTGGCCGGTGGCGTACGGTACGCCGGCAATACTTGACCATTGCGGTGGAAGGCGAAACTTTGAAGTCCGGGGGAAGCCCGCGGGTCGACCGGGCGCTATACGGGCCGGGTCTCAGTTCTGCTAATCTCGTCTTGACCAGACCTGCATTCGTCATCGGGAAAATCAGGGAGAATTTCCGGAACTAGCGAGAATCATCGGGGATCACGAACGGTATCGCGATAACGAGACATGCTGAAGATAGGCGCTCATCAATAATTTTCCGACGGAGAACATCCGATTGACAATATTTTTCCGGATGCCGAATGCACCTCAGGATTTCATGGTGCCATTGGTGCCATGTAATGTCATGAAACGGTCGTGCTTCAACAAACTCAACATTGTCCAGCTGTAACTTTATGCAGACCAGATTGTTTTTAAAATGCCTAGACCGTTTGCAAACGGCCTGGTGTCTGGAAAGTTGTCATACGGCCTAGTCGGTTTGCAAACGGCCTGAAATTTCAGGCGGTTTGCATACAGCCTGGAATTTCAGACCGTATTCAAACGGCCTGACTTTTCAGTCCGTTTGCATACTGACTGGGCTGTCCAGGCCGTTTTCAAACGGCCTGAATCGGGCCAGGCCGTTTGCAAACGGACTGAGTTTTCATACGGCCTGTAACATATATATTGTTTTGCGAGCAACATATGCCACACTAAGGTGGGAGGGTCCCTTTAACCGTTGACCTCAGGTTAAACTTAAATCTGCATACACTAGCCGAACTAGCTTTAAAGCAACCATCGATTTTTTTCTGTGATGTTCATTGTTCAAGCTCTTTTTGTTCACGATCTACGAGCCAAATGTTCAAGAACGGCAAATCGGGAACATTTTAAGTTTGATGATTTTTGCGATCTATAACCGCAACAAAAAATGACCAGAAAAGTTTCCTCATGATTTTAACCCCCTTTCAAATGCCGCTTACTCCGTGTCGCGGTCCAGGAGCCGAGTTAGGGGGAGGGGAGAGAGGCTAAAAACGCCTCTACCCGCTACGATATGTTCCCATCAGACCAGCGCCCTGGCGCGGTCAAGGTATGAGCTATGATGACACCTTTTTTTCTGGGATTAGATTGTTAGGGTGTTGAATGGTAGGTATAGCTTAACAATTTCCGCACAGCGTGCGAGACTGCAAGTGTATGTGAGGCGATAAGTCTAACATACCTATGCTAGTCTTTGCAGGTCAGGTGCACAGATGTTCAACAACATGCAAAAGTGCAAAAAAATATAAAAGTGCGCGTAATATTTCAGTGAAACTTTATCATTGCGAATTATATAACGATTACTAAAGTTTTCCGCTATAAAATCACATAAAAAGTTGAATTGTACACGTTAAAAGACCCGCAATGGATACGGCACAGATTAAGTACAATCTGCAACTAGTTAGTATTTTCCTTTATTCCACGAGATTATGCTGAGGAACACGTGATCGCTGTGCAGCAGCAGCAACTCCTTTGGATGACGTCACAAAGGGGTGTGTCTGCGCTATAGGTGTATAAAACGGGTGCACAGGTCCCACAGTTCAACTGCACCCTCAGCGCAGCTCAGTTCTCTCCATCACATACCAACATGAAGGTAAGTCGGATCTTACCCAGGACGCACAACTTAGTATTTACATATTACTACAGTGTTACAACTCAGTACCAAAGGACCCTTTGTATAATTGATTGTGGTAAACTATAGGCTATAGCCACGCCAAACCACTTTACCTGTTATTGACTGTAATTAAGGCTTCGCGAGAACATTTTCCACTTTTCCATGACCTATCAAATTTGATCAGTTGCACTGCACCCTTCATTGTTGCACTTTTCAGCACAACAGACTGATGGTCCAGGTCAGATGAATCAAAAGCAAAATATAATAGCAAAACAGCACAGAAATTCAGACAACAGTGAAGATCAACAACTACCAAACCTCTCATTTTTTTTTTCAGCTGGTCATCCTCTTCGCCGTGGTGGCTGTTGCCGCCGCCAGCTTCTCTCCTTACTACTACGGCAACAACTACTACTCCCCGTACGGCCTGGGCTTCCAAGGAAACCTCGGCTTCAGTAACTTCGGCGCCTTCGGCGGTGGCTTCGGTGGCTTCGGCGGCTTTGGAAGCATCAGCAACGGACTCGGCTTCGGTCTCGGCTATGGCCGAGGTTTCGGTGGCGTTGGAGCCTTCAACAGCTTCGGCATCGGTAGATTCAACCGCGGGTTCGGCCTCGGCTATGGCCGAGGTTTCGGCGGCATTGGAGCCTTGAACAGCTTCGGAGGCCCCGGTGCGTTCAACGGCGGCTTCGGCCTCCGCCGTTTCGGTGCTTTCAACCGCGGCTTTGGAGGGTACGGAGGCTACTTCTAACTTTTGAAAACGATCAGACAGTGCTGACAATCCCATCGGCTAGAAGTCTGTTGAATATCGTGCCACCGACATACTCGTATTTGTCTTTTATACGAGCGTCATGTTTCTCACGTCTCCGTAGCCTGGCGTCTGAATTTGAAACTATCGCATGCTCCGTCAGCTGTATGAATATACATAAGCATTTGTGTGAGTCCTTGGGGATGTTTGTTGATTTGTGGTGATTTCTGAAAATATATTATTTTACGCCTATGCTTACGAGTGTGGACATCACAAATGTCGCATATATTCATTGCACGAGCGTTGCTGTGCGTTCAGGTGTGCAGGGCAGCATCCATAACAGCATTAGCGTAGGGGAGAGTGGGGTAATTTGGCCGCTTTTTTTTAGAAAACGATATAACTTAAAATTAACGACACATTTCTGCATTTTCTCAACGCTGGCTGGCCGACTGTCGGCGTCCCCTGTCTCTGCGCCGCCTGTCAAAGCTTACCGGCGTCCCTGGCCGGCTCACAGGGACGCCGGTGAGCCGGCGTCCACATACTCCCCACTCGAAATCGGGGCGAGATTTCGAAAGAACAGAAAACAGGTACAGCAACTTAATAAATCACAACAACGCATCGCGCGCGCACCGGGACAGTCGCAACCGTGTCACCAGACTAACCACCGATCCGGGTCCGGTTCACGGCGCCTCACGGGCCGCTTCCAGCCGAAATAGCCGGCTGAGAGGTCGGCGCGTACGGCGACCGCGCAGTTGAATGATCGCGGCGCGGGTCTGGCCGTCCGGTCCGACCAGGAGCTCGGTCACGCGTGCGAGAGGCCACCGTCCGCGCGGCCCCTCGTTGTGGACGAGCACGACGTCTCCCACCTCCGGTGTCCGGTTCGGCTGCCCCCGCGGCGACCGGTGCCAGCAGCGGAGCGCGCGCTGATACTCGCTGTTCCACCGCCGAGTCAGCTGGTCAGACACCCTCCGGCGGTGCCTCCAGGCTCTGTTGAGTGGGGACTCCGTCAGAGTCGGGCACACAACACCATCGATTGTGGTCACACCGAACAGCAGGTGAGCTGGCGTGAGCAGATCCTCCCCATCACCCTGGGTGAGGGGGCGCAGGTTGACAAAAAACGCCAACTCATAAAGAACGACAGACAGCTGTTCAAAGGAGAGATGACAGAGGTGCAACGATGCACGCAGAGCCGCCTTCGTTACACCCACCATGCGCTCCCAGAAGCCTCCCCACCATGGGGCCGATTCAGGGATGAACCGCCAGGTGACACACCTTGGGAGCTGACCCAGCAGCGCGCGAAAGGTCCTCGCGTTATCGCTGTAGATGAGCGCAGGTGTCCCGCGAAGCGCAAAGAACCGCCTCAGGGCCAGGACGAGGTCGGCTGTCGTCTGGGAGTGAACTAGCTCGAGGTGGACAGCACGGGAGGTGGCGCAGGTGATGAGAAGTACCCATACCTTTTTAGCGCTGCCGTCTACGTACAGTGGCCCGAAATAGTCGACGCCCACCTTGGCGAACGGTCGGGACGGCTGCACGCGAAAACTCGGCAGCACCCCCTCTGGCGACCTGTAGGGAAGACATCGGTAGCGACGGCATCGGCGACATGAGTCAACAGCTCGGCGAACGGTCCGCCGCCTTACCGCGTACTCTGCGGTGAGCAGGGCCAGTGTCACGCGAGTCCCCTGGTGGAAGCACCGGCGGTGAGCCTCTTCTACGATCAGCGTCGTGATGCGCGCCTCTTCTGGTAGGATCGGGACTGGTCGTTCGCCGGTCCGCAGCGTCGCCAGCAAGATTCCCTCCTCACTGAGCTGCGGGCGGAGTTTAGTCAGTGGTGACCCGCTAGGCAGCAGCTCACCCGAACGTACTGCCTTCAGTTCATCGGGGTAGACACATATCTGGGACACTCTGATCAGAAAGAGAAGGCTACTCCGCCTCTCCTCTGGATTCAGCGGCCCGGTCACTCTGTCCTCCTTCAGCGCGCGGCTGTTGGACACAAAACGACGTATCCAGGTCAGTCGGTTCACCGCTTGTGCGAGACTGGAACACTCTGTGAGGTCGAACGGCATCGGCTCACTCCTCTGGGTCACCAGACTCTCTCTGACTACAGGTCTCTCCTTCTTGCTTTCCACAGCGGCCTCTGGTGATAGCTGCCGCTCACCAGGCGCGGCCGACAGCGGCAGCTCAGGGCTTGAAGAGTCCCTCAGAAACGCGGGTCCCTTCCACCACACATCACACTTCTCCAAGACAGCGAGGGACATACCTCTGGTTCCGATGTCAGCTGGGTTGTCCTCCCCACGGACATGACGCCACTGCTCGGGGCTCGACATCTCGGTGATGGCCTTCACTCGGTTGTGGACGAACAGCTTGAGCGCCCTCTTGCTGCTGATCCAGTAGAGGACATCCTTGGCATCAGTCCAGTAGACCACTCGCGGTGCGTCCAGGCTCAGAGAACTGCGAACAAACTCCATCAGGCGGCAGCCGATCAGGGCTGCCATCAGCTCCAGTCTCGGCACACTGAGGGCAGGAGTCACGGGCGCCAAACGAGACTTCGCCATCACTAGTCGAGAGTCTCCATCGGTCACAGCGTAGATGACGCAGCAGTAAGCACGCTTCGAAGCATCACAGAACACGTGATACGTGACGTCATCGGTGATTAACAGAGTGCGGGGGAACCACACATCACGGTCAGACGCATCTCTGCACCAGGTGGATAGCTCATCCAGCGTGTTAGGGGACAGATCATCATCCCATACCGCGGACGGCTGCTCCTTCCAGGTCCGCTGAAAGACTGCTCTGCCAACGACAAGCCAGGGCGACAGCACACCGAGAGGGTCGAACAGCTTACCCAGGGTGGACAGTAGCTCACGCTTGGTCCTGATGGCCGACAGGGTGGGTAGGCACACCGCCAGACGGTCCGTCCTGGTGCTCCAGCGCAGTCCCAGAATGCTCGAGTCCTCAGCGTCGTCACCGGTGATGCGCAGCTTGTGCAGTTCCATTCGAGCGTCGCCGAAGATCTGCACCGTCCTCTCCATGCCTCTCTCCGCTTCAGTCCTGTTGGGGAATGATAGGCATATATCATCCATGTACAGTCCCTCCTCCAGCATCTTGCAGAGGGACGGGTCAGTCGAACGATACCGACAGATATGACTGGACAGGGTCTGCAGCAGAAGGTACGGGGAGCAGCTGAGGCCGAAGGGGACACGTCTGAACCTCAGACGTTGGTCAGCCCACAGGAATTGGAGGTACCTCCTGTCCCGTTCGGAGATGGACACCATGTGGAAGGCCGACCTGATGTCCGTCTGAGCTGCCACTGCGCCCCGTCGAAAGTTGAGCAGTACCGCAGGAACTCGGCGCAGCAGGTTTCCGCCAGTCTCCAGGAGGTCGTTGAGACTGCGGCCGGTTGGGTCTCTCGCTGAGCCGTCAAAAACTACTCGCAGTTTTCCATTCCGCCAGATGCCCCGGTGCGGCAGGTAGAAGCCGTCTATGTCGCCTGCCGGAGACTCCTCGATGACACAGTTTCTCTGCAGTTCCGCCAGGTGGCGGGCGTACTCTTTCCGCTCTGGGCAGGTCAGCCGCGCCTCCATCCGCTTGGTCCGCGCCGCTGCTGAATACAGGTTAGTGACGGGGCGTTCACCGGAGGTCCACAGCAGTCTCATCTCGTACCTCTGATCCTCGAGGCTCCAGGTCGGGTAGGCCTGTGAGTGTGGTCCCGCCTCATCTTCGGAGATGCCGATCGCCTCCAGACGCCAGAGCTGCTCTGCTTCCTCCTCTGGCAGGCGGCGGCTGCAGCGTAGCGCATACCTCACCGAGGTAGACGTGACAGGGAGCTCCTCCCTGCCGTGGATCACGTAACCGAACACGGTATCCACAGCTCGCAGACGGTCAGACAGACAGATTTGGTCATGCAACACAATCTTGTAGATCTGGTCTACCCCAATCAAGACATCCACTGGCCCGCCCTGGAAGTCATCAGCAAGCAGAACGTGGGGCTCAAACACTACGGTAGGCGGTCGGGCAGGCGTGGGTTGCGAACAGAGCCTGTCAGTCTTCCACAACTCGAACACATGGTCCTCCCCACCGTGCCGGCTCCTCAGGGCCAGTCTCACCTTTTCATACGTCCTGGGCTCCTCACCGCGCTCTTGAAAGCCCATGCAGGCGAATACTCCGCTCCCCACCAAGGCCAGGCCGAGTGCATCTGCCGCCGACGTCCGGATGTACGAGGAGTCGGAGCCGCCGTCGAGCAGGATGCGCAGTCTGCAGGTCCCCTGCGGCCCGGCCGCCTCCACCAGCGCTGTCTGGGTGTAGCACGCCGCGTCGCTGACGTTAGCGGGGTCAGGTGGAGAGCTCAATGAGTCACATGGCAAAGCGTTAGTCGAACCAGAAGGCACAGGGGCAGACGCGGCAGTCATCACACTAGCTGAATATGGTGCGCAAGCGGTGGCATCGGGCTCCACGGGTGGGTTCTGTGCATCTGGCGCTACGGGTTGGTTCTGAGCATCCGGCGCTATCTGTGTAGACATACCCTGGCGATACACAGGAGCATACCGACCTTGAGACTGCGAATGCTGACCGGCGGCAGCAGGAGGCAGTGGTGCTGAGTAGACCGGCTGGTTGAAGTGGTTGTGATGTTCTGCAGGTGGCAGCTGAGGTGGTCCGTGGAACCCTGGTGGCGGTTGACTGCTGTTCCGACCAGGCGGTGGTCCGTAGAAGCCAGGAGGTGCTCTGCTCTCGTTCCGACCAGGCTGAGGGGGTCGTCTCGGCAGATCGTTGGCGCTGGTCCTGTGGAGGCTCGAATGGTGCGGTCCACCACACGTGAGGCAGTTAGAACTGCGACAGTCACGGGCCAGGTGGGGGCCCAGACAGCGGAAACAGACACTGGCAGCCTTCACAGCCTCCCATCTGGCATCAACAGTCATGCCTCGATACATCTGGCAAGCCGCTAGCCCATGCCTACCATCTCCACATGCCACACACACCCAGTCATCGCGAGCACAGACAGCAGAGCGGGGAGCATAGCGACCTGGCGGACGAGCGGAGCCCAGCTGTCGGTTGGCAGCCAGGCAGCAGGTGGTCTGGGTGGTTCCGTCGGCTGGACTGGAGCTGCTGCAGCCTGCTCGCGCACCCTCATCTCGTGCTGGAGAAAGGTGAGAAACTCCCGGAAGTCTGCAGTCTGGTGACGTGCCCACTCCAGACGCCAGGAGTCCGGCAGCTTCTCTCGAAGAACCGGCAGCAGGATACTGGAGAAGCTGCTGGCAGTCACTCCAAGAGCCTCCAGGCCCCTGACACGAGCAGTCAGCTGGTCGAGGAAGCGGTGCATAGCAGGCACGTCAGCGGTCTTACAGCACGGCAAGTCTAGCAGCTGTTTCATGAGTAGCTCCCTCCTCACACCCTCTCTATCGAAGCGACAGGTCAGCGCATCCACTGCAAGTTGATACCCAACATCAGACAGAGGGATCCCCTCAATTACCCGTTTGGGTACACTCCCCAGGTGAGACTTCAGCAGCACAAACTTTTGTACTGCTGCATACCTTTGGTTCAGGTGGATGGCGACCCTGAACAGCTCCCAGAATTCGGGCCACTGTAGCACATCACCCTCAAAGGTCGGCAGACGCACCACCAACGACGACTTCAGGTCAAACTCCTCAGGGCTTGCAGCAGCGGCTGGACTTGGACCTGGGGGCTTAGACTCCAGACGACCGAGAACACGCTCACTCTTGAAAACCTCCTCCAAGGCCAGCTCCACATGGTTGGTCTCGTCCAGCACACCCTCCTTATCCAAAGACACCTGCACAGACTGAAGGTCTTTAACAATGTTACTGAGAAAATGAATTTTATATGCCAAGTCGTCTTGATCGAGGTCACTCCCCAGGCGGTACTCCCTTAGGTCATTTGTCAACTTGGTGACCTTACCTCTCAGCCTTGCACGAGAGGCCTTTGCCTCCTCCATCACAATCACTCCGAAAGCACACAAAAATAAAGCAAATCCGGCGACCCGCCGCAAACCAATCTTGATCTCAATCTTGAAAACCAATCAACAAAATCTTGTCGGTGTACCACCGCACAGAGCAAGATCAAAATCACTGAAAAAGATCAGCCATCCGGCCCGGAGGACCAGATGTTGAAAGATACGTTACGTTAATGTAGTTAAATCGGTCAAATCTTCGGTAGGTATCCCTCTGGTAGCGTCGGTACGCCCAAACAGCACGGCGTCTCACAGGTGACTCTGTATTGTTGCGTGTGGCGCCACTGGCCTCAACTCAGGTTACCAAATAAAAATGGCAGCAATCACTTAGGGGTAATTTTCGGCGATGAAAGTATTTAGGGGGAAACTCGCACAGACGGCGTTCGAGTGTGAAACTAATGGCGTTAATGACGTAGAAGAACTTCAGTGAAAATGTCTCCCAATTACTCCAGTGACCTTGACTCCAGGGTGGTGTTTCATAGCAGATCGCTGCAGTGCGCTGCGCGCGTCGGCGCGTTGGGTTTCCATGGCAATATCAACAAACTTCACTCTGACGCTAAGCTATGACGTCATCGCAAAACGCTAGCGCGCCGCTCCGCCAGCACGCTAGCAGCATTCGCACTCAAACCTCTGTTCTCTTTGTACTTGGTTCCTTAGGACCTCTGTTCCAAACGCGATTCATCATAAGCTAACAGATCGCTCGCAACGTCATTCGAGTGACGTCAGGGGTATGCCTTAGCTCCCAGCGCGCGCAGCGTCGGACGGTGAGACAGGGGCCAGGGCCCAGGACAATATTCATTAATCGTTTTATCGTCCAAGGCCGTATATTAGGGGTTTAAATCGTCAGTAGGTCTGTTTACATTTGCTCAGCTGACGAAATGACGTCAATGGTCGTCCGCCCCGCAAGGATCAGACGGCCGCACACAGTAGGTAGGTACATAACGCGGGCACAGGCAACAATCTCATCGACCTTATCTTGATAGAAAACACAACAGTAAAACGCTCTAAGCAGGGGCGCAGCCAAGGGGGGGGGCACACTGGGCTTTAGCCCCCCCCCCCCCCAAATCTAGTAGGCGCCCTCATCCAGGGCGCCGAAGGCGCCCTGGATGGCGCCTTTCACGATCATTTCGGGGCGCCGAAGGCGCCTTTCTAATGTCCAGCACTCTAGGCGCCCTCGACGGTTAGCCATTGCGGTACACCATGCGGCACTGGCGCCCAGGTTTACAATTTTATATCTCTTTGTGGGTGAAGATGCACCCACAATCCTGAACTGCCAGACATCCACCCCCAATCTCCTGACCATCTAGCACCCTGGCATCATCTTCAGCGCCCTTCTGTCTGTTCGGCGCCCTTCTGATCTGTCGGCGCCCTTCTCGCCATTAAGCGCTCTTATGGCCTGCCGGCGCCCTTTTCACATTCGGCGCCCTCTGGGCTGACCAGTCGGCGCCTTCATGGTCCTTATCACACAGCATCCTCCTGATCTTTCTGCGCCCTCCACACTTGCCGGCGCCCTCCTGACCTGTCAGCGCCCTCCTTATCGTATTATAGCGCCCTCCTCACGTCACCGTACAGCGCCCTTATGGGCCCATCGATAGCGCTTCGGCGATACCTATCGCCTAGAGGCTGCAATGGGGCCCTTAGAGTACGGTGTCAGACCCCCCAGAGGCCGGTGTTAGACCCAAGGGTCAGCGATGGGCCTCAAAGGGCAAAGGCCCAAGGTAGGGCCCCAGATGCTGATGTGGGCCTTCAGAGGCAAGTGCGTGACGCCCAAAGGTAAGGCTTGAGCCCCCCAGAGAACATAATAGGGCCATCAGTGGCCGGCGTAGAGACCTCATAGGCCAGTTTGGGGCCCCTCAGAGGCTAGTGTGGGGCCTCAGGTGTCGGTATGAGGCACTTAAAGACCGTTATGGGTCCTCAGAAGCCGGCATCGATCCTTCAGAAGCCAGTACGGGGCCCTCAGAGGCACACAAGGGTCAGTTTGGGTCCCAAAGACAGAAATGGGACCATCAGAGGCCGGTTTGGGACCTTTAGAGGCTGGTTTGGGCCCTTAGGGGCCAAATTAGGGCCCTCAGAGACCAGTACAGGACCTGCAAAGGGCAGTTTGAGACCATCAGAAACCGAATTGGGCACTCAGAGGCTAATGTGGGTCCTTACAGGCCAGCATGGGGCCCTCAGAGGTTAGCGTGGGGCCCTAAAAGACCAACATGGGCCGGCGTTGGGCCCCAGAGGCCATTAGAGGGCCCTCAAAGGACAAGATGGGCCCTCAGAGGCCGATGCGGGCCCTTAGAGGCCGGCATCAGATCTTCAGAAGCCCGTGCGGGGCCCTCAGAGGCTAAGGTGGGTCCTTACAGGCCAGCACGGGCCCTCAGAGGTCAGTGTGGGGCCCTAAAAGACCGGCATGGGCCGGCGTTGGACCCCAGAGGCCAACAGAAGGCCCTCAAAGGCCAAGATGGGCCCTCAGAAGCCGATGCTGACCCTTAGAGGTCGGCATCGGGTCTTCAGAATCCAGTGCGGGGGCCCACAGAGGTTAATGTGGGCCCATACAGACCGTCATGGGGCCCTCAAAGGTCAGAATGGGACCCTAAAAGACTGCATTGGCCGGCGTTGGAACCCAGAGGCCAGCAGAGGGCCCTCAAAGGCCAAGATGGGCCCTCAGAGGCCGATGCGGACTCTTAGAGGCCGGCATGGGGTCTTCAGAATCCAGTGCGGGGCCCATAGAGGCTAATGTGTGTCCTTTCCGGCCAGCATGGGGCCCTCAGAGGTCAGTGTGGGGCCCTAAAAGACCAACATGGGCCGGCGTTGGACCCCAGAGGCCAGCGGAGGGCCCTCAAAGGCCAAGATGGGCCCTCAGACGCCGATGCGGGCCCTGAGCGGCCGGCATTGGGTCTTCAGAATCCAGTGCAGGTGCCCTCAGAGGCTAATGTGGGTCCTTACAGGCCAGCATGGGCCCTTAGAGGTCAGTGTGGGGCCCTTAAAGGCCGGCATGGGCCGGCGTGGGACCCCAGAGACCAGCGGAGGGCCCTCAAAGGCCAAAATGGCCCCCAGAGGCCGATGCGGGCTCTTAGAGGCCGACATCGGGTCTTCAGAATCCAATGCGGGGCCCTCAGAGGCACTTAAAGGCTAGTCTTGGGACTAGAGAGACAGAAATGAGGCCACCAGAGGCCGGCGTGAGGCTATCAGACGCCGGTTGGGCCCCTGAGGCCGGTTTAGGGGCCCTTAAAGGCCAGTGGAGGGCCCTCAGAGGTCAATGTGGGTCCTCAGCGGTCAATGTGGACGCTTGACCGCCACTGAAGGGCTCTCAGAGGTCAGTGTAGGACCCTCAAAGACTGGTATAGGAGCTGTTAATAGCTGGCGTGGGTTTCTCGAGCCTCGGGGCCCATACGGCCATGGGGGCCCATCGGTTGTTTGGGGGGGGGGGGGCAAATGATATGATGCCCCCTGATTTGCCTTTGGGGGGCATGACCCTGATGCCTTCCCCCCCCCCTGCGACCGCCACTGGAGCCGTCCGCCTTGCATACACCTATGCATTCATATCTCGGCCAACACCGACCAGCTGAGCGCCACATGGACACATTTGGCAGCACATACACCAGTGCGAAGGAAATTCCCTCCGCTAATACTTTACACATAACAGGCCTAATGAAGAGGGGTCCCGCGCAAGCAACAGGTAAGTATGTGCATAGAGTAAATACAACAAAACTGATCTTTAACATCTAAACATGCTAAAGTATAACATAAAAGGCATTAAATCCACAAAACCAGTGGCTGAAGCCGCCTCTGTCAAGTAAATTGTGCCGTCAAGTGTAAGTGCAATGCGCCCAAATCAAACCTGAAAGTGTCTGGAAAGGGCGCATATGCGCTCGGATCATACTGCAGAGTGTCGTAAAATGGCGCAGTGCGCTTTTATCTGACTCGGTAGTGTCGTTTTTAGGCTAAGTGTCTGATAATTGCGCCTGAAGTCGACTCGGGAAAATTATTCAAACAGGTATTTCGAGAAAAATACAGTGTTAAACGCAAAAAAAACTGTCAGAATGCGTTTTACAAACACACCTATCAATGAAAAGTGTTTGGGTCACCTTCAGGTCATTATTTAAAAAAAAACTTGTGCACCGAATTCCAGCTCAACATCTAGGTAAGGTATACGACACCCACTCCGTCGTCGGGGCAAAATCCTTCATCTGAAAATTCAAGTACATATGGTTGTAAGTATGATGTACCAAATGTATGCATTATGCATCAGAAATCACGAGCGAGAAAATCTCTTTCAAATGAGCATCATTTTTTAAAGATTGGTTGCGAAATAAACGAATGACAACAGAAAAACGGAAAGTGCTCGACCACTCAGGCTCCAACAGGACTGTTGAATACAGGCGCATTTTGCCCACGATTTGTCGCGAATGAGCGCAGTTTCACCGCATCGTTCTGCATCGCGTTTTTCTCATTTGTGGCGGAATCAAACAGTGTCCTGATACTGCCACATATTCCGGGGGGCTAAATTTACCTCTTTTCATTGCAGCGAGCTTCCTAGAATGCATAACTTTGGAGATTTTGCGACATGAAAGAAATGTCGTATTTCAGCGCAGTTTGAGTGTGCAATTTGCGGCAACTGTCGCTTTTAAGCGCTGTCGTTTTATTTTGCGCAAAGTCGAATTCGAGCGCAAAAAAGTCGAATGAGAGTTGAATCGTATTCCCTTGTTAGGCTCTCGGGCCGTGGAGCCGTGCGCTGTTCGCTGTGGTTGGGGCGGCAGACGGCCGGAACGGACGATTCTCAGCCCGGTACTGCTAAGTGGAGGACAGTTGACAGTTGAGTTGGATGTTAGTGGTGGCCCGCTTGACAGCTGCTGACCTAGCCTTGCCGACTCGCTTGGCAGCCGGAACGTACGTATATACGTAGGTACACGTTCGGTAGCGCGTTCCCGATGCACAGTGGCCCTTTTTCAGAATTAGCACGCATTAATTCCCACATTACCTGAAAGTGGTGCAAG